CGTTCAGAGACTGGATTACCAATGTGTTTCTTGGTGCGCGCAAGCCCTGGACTGCGGTGATTTGCTTTGGGTCGACCTCGATGCCGCGCTTGGTGATCATGAATCCCAAGAATTTTCCGGCTTCTGCTCCGAACACACATTTCAGCGGGTTCAGGCGGAGACTGTACTTGCGGAGCGCTTCGAATGTCTCGCGCAGGTCGTCCAGATGTGATTTCCCTGCCTTGGTCTTGACAATGAGGTCATCCACGTATGCCTCAATGTTGCGCCCCCTTTGCTGTGAGAACACCGCGTCGATCATCCTCTGGTATGTCGCGCTAGCATTCTTAAGCCCAAATGGCATTCCGACAAAACAGAAGTTTCCAAACGGCGTCATGAAGGCTGTTTTCTCTTCGTCTTCGCGCGACATTGGGATTTGGTGGTACCCCGAGAACATGTCCAGGAAGGACAGTGTTTCATGGTCGGCGGTGGCGTCAATCAGTTGGTCGATGCGCGGCAGAGGGTAGGGATCCCCTGGGCACACCTTGTTGATCGTCGTGTAGTCGACGCACATTCACCAAGCTCCCGAGGACTTTTTCACCAACACCACGTTCGCCAGCCACTTCGGGTATTTCACTGGACGGATTAACCCCGCTGACAGCAGGCGCGCCACTTCTTCCTCGATGGCTTTAAGCTTGTCGCCCGTGAAGCTCCGTCGCGCCTGTTGTCTTGGCGTCGCGCTGACTGGGACCCCAAGGGAATGTTGGCACACCCGGCATGTATTCCGTGCACCACGCGAATAATTCTTTATACTCTTTCAGCAGCTTTATCAGCGGTTCAATCGCGTCTCCGGGGACGTGAGTTGAAACGCGTACCTTGCGTGTTGGCTCGCTCGGATCAAGGGCGACTTCGAAGTCAGAATCCATTGATTCCGGGCGAGGTTCTTCTGCCCTTGTGTCAACGATGTTGGTCTGGCGGACTTCTCCTAGCTTTGGGGCCTCCCATGTTGTCCCGCGCGCTTCGCCGCTCCCCTCCTTGGTGGAGAATTTGAGTTTCTGGTGGCATGTTGACGGGAGAGCCATGAATTTTGCCAAGAGCGGGCGGCCAAAAATTCCATTGTGGGGGGATTTGCAGTCGACTATCGTGAACTCGACTTGCTTCGAGACGCGTGGCTCTTGGTCCCCGAGCATGACTGGCAGAGTGACCACACCGATAACTGGGACCCTTGTGCCGGAAAAATCGACCAAGTTCCCGTAAGCGGGCTTGATTAGCCGCGGGTCGATGTCCATTTGGTCGACCGTGCTTTTGAAAAGGATGTCCGCCGCGCTGCCCCCGTCAATCAGTAGGCGGCGAACCTTGCAGGCGGCGATGAGCGCGGTGATGATGAGTGGGTCCTCCGAAGGGATCCCTCCAGGGAGTTCAGCGTCGTCGAAGCTCAAGTTGCACTTCTGTGTAGCTTCCGCCGCCGCGCACTCTATAGCGCGGTCGCGCTTGGTCTTTTTCTTCGGGCGGTCTCCTTCTACAGTTACCACCCCGATTTCCTTGCGCACTACGTACGAGCCCGAGGCGTCGTCATAGTCAGCCTGTGGCGGTGGTGGGGGTTCCACAGGGCGCTCAACCGGTTCTTCCGCTCTGCGAATGAACTCATTCAGGAGTCCCCTTTGTATGAGGCCCTCGATCTCATAGCGCAATTCTCTGCAGTTTTCTGTCCAGTGCCCCGTGTCCCTGTGGAATTCACAGCGCTTCTTGGGATCGCGCATGTGCGGGAGGGTCTTCATGGGGGCGGGCCAGTTGATTTTGTACCCCTTCTCTCGTAGAACGTGGTAGACGTTCTTGACCGTGTCGTTGAGGGGAGTATAGTTTGGCGGGCGCCTTTCTGGCGACCGCCCCCGATGGGCTTGTTCTGGAGGTGGTGGTGGGCGTCTGGCGGCGCTGTGCGCTTGCAACAGCTGGTCCCGCGGCACGGGAAGCTGCCTACGAGCTTGATCTTCTTTGGGCATTTTGGCGGGTTCGAAACGTCTGATGGAGCCCGCGCCCAGCGTTTCTTCCAAAGTGATGGCCTTTTCAATTTTGACTTCCAGCTCCGTAGACAGTGTGATTGGTCTCTTTGCTAGCGCTCTCTTGAGCTCCATGCTGGTAGTGGCGTCCATGAGGTGATGGGCGGCGGTTTCCGGGGTGAGATCTCTTACAGCCATTGCCACCCTGGACCACCTGGCGTAGAACGCCCGCAAGCTTTCTCCGTCCTTCTGGTGGATGTCTATCAGCGCCTTGAGGTGAAGAGGCCTTCTTTTTTGTGACGCGAACTTAGTTGTGAACAGGAGTATGAACTTTTCGAAGGAGCGGATGATTCCATTGGGGAGGCGGTTATACCAGTCGAGGCATATCCCGGAGAAGGTTGATGGGAACGTCCGGCATAGTGCCGCGTTAGAGTTGGTTTGGAGTTGCATCCGTAGGCAGAAGGTGCTGACGTGGTCCTCAGGATCGGTCGTGCCGTTGTACGTGGGGAGGGTGGGTGGCGCCCCGCTCAAGTGTTCCGCCATGATCTCCGCGCACAATGGTTGATGTAGGGCCTTTCTAGGCGGATTGGGGCGGAACTGTGGGGACAGGTGTTGCTCCAAAAAGCTGAGGTCCGCTCTTCCGGGCTGTTCGTGCCGCTGGGTTTCAGGCGCGGTCAACTCGACCGCTGCCTGATGTGGTGGCGGGACATGGCCTGATGTCCCTCCTTGTGTTAGCTGTAACGCATCAGACGGCGCACTCGGCGCTGCCGCAGCTTCTCTGCTCATCATGAGCGCCATAACTTGGCTCATCTGCTTTTGCATATTGGCGATGACGTCGTTTTGCCTCGTCATCAGCTGCCTCATCTCCTTGGCCGTCAGTTCGGGCTCTTCTTCCTCGATGAGTACCGCGTCGCGGTTGCTGGCTTTCGCGAGTCCCGCGAACACCCTAGGATCCGTCATTGCCTTGATGGGGGTTACCTCGCCGGGTATGTTGGAGTTTTGTTCTGCCATTTTTTCCTCAGGCCCCACGGTGGGCACCAATTGTTTGAACCTAACTGAGTGTAGGAGTGAGGTTCGCTAGAATGGGTCGAGAAGAATGAACGGCTTGGTTGAACAAGAACTTTGAGACAAATGAGAGGGAAGATAGAGTTGAGAGAGAGTGTGTATTTAGTGAGAGAAAGTGATGATCTTAGAGATAGAGTCTGAAAAATCCGATCTCCTTCACCCACCGGAGTAAATGCCATATTTATAGGCTACATGGTGGTGGGTGAGTTACATGATGGTACGATGACATGACCACTACGGCAAGGTGACATGACCCCTGACATGTCAGGGACAAAGACCATATCCCTAGGGGTGACAAGATCCTTAGCCATGACTATACCTAGGACTATGATGTTGACTACCCTTCGGGTGACGCGGCGCCGCTTTTACAACTTCTCGGTGAGGGCCCGCGCTTGTCCAAAGTGTCGTCGTTTGGCGTTTGTGCGCGGTCTTTAGGGGCAGTCTCTGCACTCGCGCTTTCCCCTGGCGCGACTCGCGCGTTGTCTTTGACGTGAGCATCCTTGGGTATTTCTTCGGCGTGCTGAGATCCGAGTCACATCCCCAACAGATCTAATATAATCTAAGCCTTAAACGGCACTTTGTATATTTATTTAAAATACATTTTTTCCTCACAAGTTACAAATGATATATATTTAGTCTTGTAAATAAAGTCTCAAATCCCCCCGGATCAGTTTACTTTCATTTTCCATTCATGTGGTTTGTAACAATAGAAAATAGATCGTGAAGAAAACAAAACTACAGTTTCTTAAAGACACAAAACCAGGAAAACCTAAAATGAAAACCTATTTAGCTAAAAAGTTTGTTGAATTCTGAAACAGAAACTTGAAATATGGTAGATTATTTGAAATCAAAGTGAGAAAAATGAAATAATTATAAAATTATAAAGTTCAAAAAATTAAAAGTATTAAATACAAAAAAAGAAAATTTATTTTATTTGAGAAGAAACTAGATAGGCATAAAATTTCTAGTGACTTTCTTATTCAAATCTAGCTTATGGTTTAATAATTAATTTTGGATGGTAAATATTGAATTCATCTTTGTCCTATGCTAACCTATCACTATACAGTATCAACCATTATGTGAGAATTTTGTTAATTCAATAAGATGAGTAAGGGTTGTTACTTGTTAAACTCCTCGTCATATAGTTGGTGTACACTTTCAATGATTTTCGTTTTTAATACACATCATGTGTTAGACAATTCAGTTATTAAATTAAGGGTATGTTTTGAAATGTTTTCCTTTAATTCAATTATAAATGTATTCCAAACATGATTTGCAAGTTGAGTTCACTTAATTTGTAAAAATTTGACTATAGAATTCAAAACATAAAAATTCCTTTGAAAATGAAAATTTTAAAATAGTTCATTTTGAATTGAAATGACTTCTTGATTCATTTTTTCTTTTTTGTGAAGTACTCCTATTTATATAAGATAAAAGTTAAGTACAAGAGGAAAACTTAAGGACTGAAATAAAATTATTAAAAAATAATTACGATTAATTTCATTAAAATATGAGAAAACAGATGTTGGGAACGATGGGATACAACAAACAACTACAACCTTTTGTTTTCATAGTTGGAAATGAACATAAAACTAAATGAAAAGTAAGCAGGTTTTCTCATTTTCGTTGCAAGATTTCTCATATGAAAACATGAAATAAAAATTGAACAAGATCTTATGGTGAAAGAATATGAACATTAACAATCACAAAAGCTAATAGTAAGTTAGCTCACAATCTAATGTAGGTGGCTCCCTAGTTATACTATCGAGCTGACTATTGAGCCCCATTATTTAATTGGCTTATGAGCTTTAATTGACCTAATTTGTAAGTCAAACTTAACGAGCCATCCATTTAAACATAATCTAGCTCGTGCTCGACTCATAATAAACAAACCATCTAACGAGCCATCTCCTTGAGTAATAATCCAAGTACCAAAGGAGAGTTTTTGTTTTTCAAACCGATTGCTTGAGTCCTGCTTTACTCATTTTCCAACCCATTCAATATAAAATAAACAACTCGTATCATGTAATTCGTCGCCTCACGTCACCGGCGGAATGAAACAACAATATAGATCTTCTTTCTCAAGTATCTAACCTAAACCAATAAACAAATGTCCCCTTGAAGGAAAACCAGAAAGAAAAAAAATAACAATTAAAAAAAGTATAGCATGCCATTCATGCCCTGTGACTTGTTGTCTTGTTCTCTACAATATTGGGAATAAAAATAAAAATAATTCGGTGTGTATCACGTATATGATCTGTCATCCTTTCGCCACTATACGACGCCGTCCACAGCATCAGCCGAATGCGGAACGCCCCAAGAAAGAATTGAAACAAACAAAACCTAGATCCGGCCGGAATTTAACTCGACGACTCGGCAACATCGAACGAGTTGACCGAGTCAGGATCACTGGTGGGTGCCGGTGGTGAAGCTGTGACCCACTCCCGGGCTGGGTCCGGAGTTCTTCATTCCGCCCAGTACCAACCCGTCGAAGAATCGATCAATCGCGCACCCAGCTGCCTGCGCCGTCTCCGACTTCATGATGTTGAACGGCCGGCCGGCTTCGGCGGCGGCGAAGAGGACGGAGAGCGCCAGCGCAAAGAAGATTGTGAGTCGGAGCAATTTGAACATGGATGCCATCTGGGTTGCCGTTGGATTTCCCTTTTGTGGTGCAGTGGATTGCAGAGAAGGAAGGAAGAGCTCTGTTTCTGGGAGGAAAAGCAGAGGAGGTTTTTAGGTGGGTTAGTTGATGGATTAGAGAGTTTGGTGACTTTGTGGGGTGAGAGGGGGGGAATTTATATGGGCTGGGTTGGTGGGCAAAAGTTTGAATTGTTTGACTAAGAAAATGAAGAGGAATTTGTTAGTTTGTTCGTCATTGGCATGCAGAATTGTTCAAAGGAATAAGTACTGAGGTGCGTGGTTTTTCAACACCGAGGTGGGAAGAAAGAAGAAAACATTCGGCAGTGTCTTTGATCAACTCTTGCGCTGTGAATTAGGATGAAAGTTGGGAACCAACGAGGGAACTTCTTTTGAGGTCTTGCTGACGCATTTCGAAGTTGGAGATGAGGAATTGAATACTTCAACGGGGTAACTAATCCATTTGGAAGTCTCATCTTTGGATTAGACGCAAATTTTCTGACTATGGGGATATAGGAATTCACTTTGTGGGTTTGCACAAAGTGTTGGAAAAAGTGTGTATTTGGAAAATAAATTTGAATCGTTCAGTGAGGATTGAGGAAGAACTAAGATTTAAACAGTTATGAAGGTAGAAATTTGAATGTAGGGGCTAAAAACTTTATGTTTGAGAGATTTGAATCATATTATCATTTTATAAGGCAAGTTAAAGTCTTACCAACTCTTCTATTTTTCAATTTTGTTACAAATTTTTCATATAAATTTACCTACATTTGAAAGCTGCAACGTGGTTCCGCCACTAGACCTAGCAAACATTTCATTTAAGAGTTTCAGAAAGACAAACGCGGGATTTGAAGAATTCGTTATCTGTCGGTTTCCTGTTCATTGAGAGCTTATATACATGGTCACTTATGAAGGATGATTGTAACTTTGTTTTTGGGTTTATTCAAAATTTGCAGTAAGCCCTAGCAATACTGAAAATCCCAATTGCCTCTAACAACACTCTACATCCATCAAAAGGGGAACATAAAAAAGAAAACTATATTATCTATCCATCTAAATTCTGTGAGCCAAAATAACTCTGAAGACAGGGATCACTGGCAACACGACAACATGCTTCATTGAAGATCAACTTATGCATTAGAGCAGGAGATCAGTTAACCTTCTCATACTTTGGCCTAATTGTTAGGGGCGAAAGCTTGACCCGGAAAATCCATTGACCCGTCTCGTTCCTAAGGGTTGAGAGGGGTAAGTTTGTCTACAGGGTCAGATTAGGGACGGGTCATTTGTTGAACCTGTAAGGGTCGGGATGGGTCGGGACAACTTAGGAACGAGTCACTTTTTGACCCTGTGACCCTTCGCAACAACAAATATCTCACACCATATTGGACCTTTTGTAAAGTTTTAAAAGATTACGTACTAACTAGTAAAAATAAAAAAATTTGGGTACCAAAACGTAATTTTACCATCAAAATTTATGGACTTATTTGTAAAAAAATAAATTTTAGGTACTATATGTAAGAAAAATATAATTTTGGGTACCAAAACGTAATTTTAAAAAAAGTAGTGTTGATTAGGGTCGACCCACTGACCCCGCCCGTCCCGACTCGTCCCAACCCTTACAGGGTCAAGAAGAAGACAGGGACGAGATGGGTTAGTTATACATTTTGACCCTTCAGAGACGGATCAGACAGGGTAAGGAACGGGACAGGCAAATTTTCAACTCTACCTAATTGCATTCTGTACTTTTTAATAGAAGATCTGCTCATAGTTCAACCTTCCCAAATCCCACTTGAAATCAGAGCCCTCTCCTTTTATATGTTGCTGGATAACAGTGTGGCATCTAAGGAGTTGATAATTGTAACTTGGATGGTACCATTCATTTAGAATTTATATACTAACCATGACATTGGATGATAATACTATCGCGACATGGATGGTAACCAGGAGACTAGATGGTCATCATTTTACTTGGAATATTGCTTCACAAAACTAACACCAGTTCGATTCCCCAACACAACAACACCCGCTTCATGCATGGCTACAAGAACGATCTTTGCTAATTTTTTATATATTTTTGAAATTCCGAACTACCCGCTAATACGCTCTACAACCCTTTACCTCCTCTATTTTAACTCGAATTTTGAAAAGATTTGTACATTAAGAATGAGTTACTGTGATCTACAAATTAAAATTACTCAATTCTCTATATATTTCATGAGAAATTTTATTTGATCAATTATACTACACTCCACCATAGTGAAAGATATTGGTTAGTATATTCTACCATGTACATTTTCATACTACCATATAGGGGTGGTCTAACCGAACCAGACCAAGTCGCACCGAACCTCATATGCAGTCAAACCGAATCTCAACGTTAACCTTGCGGTCTAGTATGTGGTCTAAATTTTATGCGATTTGCGGTCGGTTCAAACCGAAATCGCGCGGTTGCTGTTCAAAATCGCAAACCGCAACCTTATGTTGTTCAAAAAATTTCTGAGCTCAATTGTTCCCACGGCTGATCATAATGGCAGTTTCATATAACCAAAGAGCAAAAGTTGCAACTGAATGAACTGATGCCGAACAATTGCGCTGGTCATTTCTTATGATTAATTGATACAAGATGGAAAAATTGATGCCGAACAATGTTCTGATTAAATCAAGGACCTTGTTTTACTTGTTATTGTCATCATGGGAATTTGAAAAGATGGTATGGTTTGATCTATTTGCTGTAGAAAAGAAATTATAGAAGTTTCTCTTGAATAATGGGAATTATGAAATTTTTTCTGTATGCTCTGTTTCTTGTTATGCTCTGTTTTTTCCTGACAAAGAACAAACAACAAGATGGACCTCTTTATCTTGCTCTAGAAAAGCATGCTCTGTTACAATACTGTTTTGTTGGACCGAAAGTAGCATTTCCTCTTCAACAGTAACTAGTACAACAATCTCTCAACAGATTTGGTTAGGAAAAAGTAATTTCATCTTGTTCCATAATGAGTTGCGTTCAAATATGCGGTGCGGTCTAAACCGTACCAAACCGCTAACTTATGTTGTTTGGTTTGACTACACCTATTACATTGCGGTCCAACATGCGGTTCAGTTCAATCAATAAGCGGTACGGTGCAGTTTATATAAATGTGGTGCAGTGCGGTTCGTACCGCACTGATGCCCACCCTTACTACCATGACATAATCTTATGTACCACCGAGCTCTACCACTAGTCCATGATAGTGTGGTGAAAAATGAATCAATTACTTTTTTTTTTCTTAAAATATATCAAAATGGATGTCATTTTATAATTTAATCAATAAAAAATTGGACAATTTGAAACTCAAATTAAAAAAATGAAATATAACTAAAATCCCCTTGGCCTTTAGTCAGCTCATCCGCTCTCCCAATTGTGAATCATATTGATTAGTTAAGTATTTCAAAAGGACATATGGATAATAATAAATGGCGAATGCAGATTCAAATTTAATATGAACCAACCTCAACTATCAATATAAATCCACAGGTACATAACTATATAAATATCCCTAAGCTCTACAGAGGAATTTTAATTATAAATCTAAAAGAGATCTAATCACATAACTAAATAGATTCTATCTTTTCTTGCATACGACCAAAGAGAATTACTGAATTAGAGAATGTCGCACCAAAAAGATAGGACTTTAATACAAAAAATTTCTCCATAACATAAGAGCTGCCATGACCTTACCACCACCATCTCTCTATAGTCGGCTTATATTAAAAGGAAATTAAGAATCATTTTCCAATTTTTAAAATTCCAGGTGTGTGGGTTGGACTAATTTGTTAATAGTCTCTGATAATTGTGGGACAACATTAATCACATTACTGTTCCACATTTCAATATTCTTAATCACATTACTGATAAATTTCTAATCATGTGGGACAATTTTAATTCAGTTCATCGATGTGAGACATTAAAAAAAATTCAATAAATTGTTTGTTAGGCACTAGTTTCAGCTCCTTGCTGCAATTTGGTATAAATAAATTAACTAATGTCTAATGTTTGATCGCATTTTCAATCGAAATGATTAAGAAAAAGAACAATAATGTTTGTCTCGATAATAACAATACGTGATATATGGGCCGGCAAAGCAGATGGCGCCGTCGGGCAACATCCGCGGACCGCGGCCGTCGGTGATCGGAGACCGAAGACCAATTATAATACCAAGACTTGAATTCCGGTTTATGAGGATTGGGAACTCACCGAGTGACACTTTGCTTCCTCCAACGTCGCCGGCGGGACGGATAATGGAGTCCTTTTGTTCAACTTCTACGATAGGAAACCAAAAAGCAATGGTACGGGTTCAAGTAACTAATATAAATCTATAACTAGATTGTAACCCGGCTCGTTGGCCGGTTGCAATGCAATAATAGTAATCGACCACGGTTTCAAGATAGTTTCTTAGTTTTTACCATTAGGAAAGTCAAACTATTCAATTGCACAAAAAATTAAAATGACCATCCATCGCACATATTACTATATTGTAATCAGTGTCTTCGTAGGTTCCGATTGAAATTAAAACAATAAGACTCATGCAAGGGAATATAAACTCGTAATAAATTTAATGACAGTATTATAGGTATTCCAAGATAACTGGTATCACTTACTTACTGTCAAGAATCTCCATCATCAACTCTACTATGTTCATTGTCAACATGCGCTTCTTTTTGTACATGTTTTGAGAAGTAAATTAAAAGACAAAATGTAACCACACATGAATATCATTTTCATGACAAAAGAATTCACCTCATTTCGGTCACAAATGTTGTTGGATATCATAGATTATGTTCGAAAATGTTAATTGAGTTATGGAATTTGTGATGTTGTACTCACTAAACTTGATATGAAACTTCAACTTCATTCCATTTTTTGTAAATATTTTATTCCTTCATTTAATATGATATGAGGGAGAGGAGGTATTGTTCTTTCGTGATTTTTAAGAGCATCCACATCAATTAATTTGCAAAAACAATTGCATTTGTGCTCTTTATTGATATAATCTTTTCTCAAGCAACCATAGGAGTTTGAACTCTTTTTTTTTCATCATAAAAATAATCAGAATAAAATAATTTAAGATGCATTTTAACATTGCAATATAAT